AGAAAATATCTGACCAGAACGGTACCAAGGAAAATGACCCACAGATGGAAAAATTCCGTCAGCGCCACAGGTGATAAGCTTTGTTTGTCGCTTGAAGAAAGCGTACACCCCCTTTGATTCAGCTGAAAGAGAATCTGAATTAGTTTTAGGTTTCAATATTGAATATAAAGGAATAGAACATAGTTAGTTATTACAGTTACAGTTATTAGTATATATAGTGGTATAATAAGGTCATTTTTAGTTGGTAATAGCTCTTAAATTTTATTTATAAGAATTATATTTCTTATTATTCAAAATCTATTCTTCCTTTTATGATTATTCTCTTATTATTTTATTTTTCCCTTTGATCTAATTTGAGAGTCTAATAAATAAAAATAAAAGGGCGAATTAAAAACAACCAAAATATAAAATAGTAAAAAATTGACCTAAAATTACGTAGGGCTCCTCAACAGGACATGACCCTAAATATGTTAATAAGATAAAAATATTAACAAAAATTTTAAAGACAAGTTTATTTAATCAATAAAAAGGAGGAAAGTTATAATAATTCTCTGACAATCAAAGTAATGAAATTAAAATCAAAATTCTAAATAGAGAAATATCTGTCGCCGTATGTCCATAAAACGTACCTTCGACAACTTGTATTACCTCAAAATCATTCCCGACCAAACAGTTTCGGCTACCGGTCATTGTTTATTAGTGAAGTTAAAAAAGAACGGTTTGTTTTTCTGCTGGACCAATGTAGCAGGTCCAAGGCAAAAAAACGTTGATAATTATTGATTACAAGCAAAAAAGATATCGATACACAACATCAGTGAATAATAGAGTTGAGCGACTCAGGGCTTAGCAGCGATGACCACCATATACAAGTAGATAGTAAGCACACCCTAGAATGCCCCGAACCGTAATGAGACGTATTGTATATGTATGTATGTTTGTATGTTTGCGAACATACAGGTGGTTGCTCAGAGATACGATTCAGCGTCTAAGATCTACTTCGACTTGTATTTTTTTAGATTAATTATTATTAATTAGAAATTAATAGCCCTATTCCAGCGGTTACCATTACTTGTTAAAATATCGCGAATTAGATACTGCAATAGGTACACCGTTGGGCCCCGTAGATTCGCGGTAACGGTAAGCAATGAATAACTAGCTACTTGTTTGTCGTGTAAAGCCGAACTACAAACCCCTAACAGAAAAATCAGAAATTACTTGCTAAATCGTTAAAGAAACAATCTGGCAAAGATTATAAATAGCTAGGGGTTACTATTTTTGTGTATATATATAAAGGTTTTTGTTCCAGAATTATACACAGAGTATCCAAAAAAGATTTCTACTATTAGATCTTGTTTTAGTGACAACTTAAAGGATAGGTCGCAGCGAATGCGTTGAATTATGGCAATGAGATACGAAATAGAATATTCGGACACATTTTTAGATAGAGATCATTTTTGCCACCGTTGCCCACGCAATTGGCCGCTGTGTCAAATATTAGCTTATCGCTGACAATGTCTCGTTACTTACATTGAACGTTTTAACGACTAGCGATAAATTTTTGCAGTTGGTTTTTTCCATCAATACGGGAAGTCAACATCTGCCAACCCTGAACATATAATAGTACTTCGTTTCAGGACCAACATTATTCGTTTTCTAATCTAGACCAGAATTTCTGGGCGAATTTGTTATCCCAGATTCCGAAAACCCGAAAGCGGTTCTTACGTTGACTAAAGGTGATGCAAACATCGCTGAGTTGAGCATTTGATTAAGGCCCGAGTCGTGATCACAACCTACGAGTCTGTAGCCTCGGCTGGGTATAAGGAAAGTGCAAAAGGCTAACTATCGACTGCCAGCTACAAGCATAATCCACTTCAATCAGTTGTAGAAGCTTCTTCTGAAGAAGAAGAGAAGGTGATTTTCCCGGATGCTGCGAATAAGGTATCCCATAACAAAATATTTTCAAAAAATTCAAGGAAATCTTCACAGCAACACGGAATTTAAGATTTTTAGACACTTTTTTTTTTTTTTTTTTGTTTTAGAAACTCGTAAAAGGCTTCAAAAAAAAACGTGTGAAATTGCCCACAATATTGAAACGTTATTCAATTTCAAGAGCTAGTAGTTAAGTGAAGGGTTAGATAAAGGTTTGGTTCATTTGCTGACGTGATGAACCTTCGAATGCCTCGTAGACTTCTTTCAAGATGGCACTCACCAAAATGTTCGACAGGAACATCATCACCTGCTAAGGCGAATCTATTAGGGAAATTATTTACGGCTCACCTACCATTAGAGGTGACCTATCGAAGTATCTAGCTCAACCGAACTTTCCACATGGCAGTCCGTCCCTAACAATGTACATGTACGGAACAGGGAACCTAAAGGATAAAAACTTCCAGTTGCCTCTAATTACAAATTAAATCCGCAGTCAGTGGCATCCTGTGCTTTTCCTCGGGGAGGTTCTGTCTGATGCGAGATAACAGAGTATCACAAATGAAATATTTAGCATGATGGAAATAAATCATTGACATAATAAAATCTCTAGCTTTTTACTTTTCTTTTTTTTTTTTTTTGTATTTTAATCTTAATCCCAATCGACTTGCTGCTAAAGCTAGATTTCTCCTTGCCTACTTTATTCCAATTAGTTTTGATCCTCTTTTTACAGCTAACAGCTAACACTTGACCTAGCGGAACCTATATGACCTACATTTTAACATTCAAAGACCAGCTCGTCATTGTAAAGAATCTCGATATGGGAACGGCGCGGATAAAAAGTGACAAAATACAATTTCTCTCATCAACTGAATAATATTACAAAACTACTACATGAAAGCAATTGACCTAAAGCTTTGTTTCCTGACCTTAGTTTAAATTTTCCGCGTTTGTGTGATCTTTGTTATCTAGCGTTTAACCTTGTCATTTTATGTAGCTTAAAGCACTAGCATCTCTAGCTAAAGCCACACTTTAACAGACGACTAGCCAGTAATAAATAATGTGTTTAAAGAGACACAGAAAATAACTGTTCTACTTAATGCTTTTCCAGCTCGTTGACGATGCAGATTGCCTCAGCGGATGATCGATAAATGCAACAGATCAAAAAATCTGCTATGCTACCTTCTACACTTGTTAGTCATTGCGCGCTGGAAATGAGTAACTATTATCTTTACCTAGATATTGTCAGGCAAGCTAGGAATCTGTAGATTGATAACATAAACTTTGCAGCTTACGAACCGAATATACGTATATGTGTAACAGTTAACTTGGAAAAGCTTTTGGTACGTACTAAAATTGTTTGTTGCCGATACTGATAACGTTAAAAACTGATACATTCAACAAACTTTCCTACAATTCATACATAGGAGCCCTATAATTCAGTCTAACAGCTCGTTCATAGCAATCTGTGACAAACCTAAGAGTAGATTTTCACAACTGCACAATGGTAACTTATTGAAACGGAAGCCCAGTATAATTGTTATTTGAAAATCAGCTGTACTAAATGAACCTGCCAATTTAAAGTAACTGAACGATGATGACTGAATGAAGAACGATGTCGTATAGAAGGATAACGAAGTGACTCGAAGGAACAAACAGCCATTTTGGGGGTTAAAGTTGGGCGACTGTTACGAGAAGACTGTATTTACCGGCCGTCTCGCTCTAGGCCATCAGCATAGATAGTTTTGAAAAACTACATTACGCACTAAATTGATTTGAAACTATTTAGCTAGTTTGCAGATTACATAACTTCTATGTCACTTCGTTCTGGGACTGGGTTAGATCGTTGCCGGTAGAGCCTAACAGTATGACCGGTATGTTATGGAAGTGCTGAGATGCTGTGAGGAACTTGAGTGAAAAGAGCCGTACCATGACATCAACTAATCACGGATAGTCATCAGCAGGCTAAGGGATACTGCCACAGCCTTTCTTTGTTGGTTACGCAACGGCAGGTATAGCATTAACAAAACATATTGAGCAAACTACATAGCTGAGGCGAAGTTTAAATATTTTAATAAGAAAGGATCGATCCGCTTTGTTATGATCTATATACAAATTCGCTTTCGCACTATCGATCTCTCTATGTTCGTACATTATATACGTCACCAAAGTCGTTGCCGCTCCGGGAGCAAAATGGAATGTTACGTGGACCTGGTCTAAATACATTCTGCACCAACACAAAACCCAGCATAGTCGAAATCTGGGCAACAGCCTTTCTAAAATAACAACGCTGTGCTTAGGCTCGTTAAGGCTACGTACCTTTTGAAAAACATCGATAATTATGGGTTGCTGTCTTCGTGGGATTTGCATAAGAAGGCTTGTTTCCTACATTCGCCCTCTTGACATTAACATGGGCTTCGTTAACCTATTGCCGGGGCGGCAGCTTCCTAACTTTTCCCGAGAAGCTCGCCCCTCCCATAAGAACTCTGCACAGAAGTAGCGCCATCTCGTTCAACCGCCAGAAACTATCATGTTATTTTTGAGTAGTCCTTTTTGTTATTACTTTTGCTTTCGTTCACTGTGTTCAGCCTGTTCCTTTGAGAAAACTATCAAGTTGATGGAATAATTAGGCCGAAATACGGTTTACCTACAGCTGCGCGAAGAAAGATTTAGTTTATATCTAGCGACTAATGAATAAAAATCCATCACTATATATATATACATATATATATATATATATATATATATATAATAGCAAGACCATTGACAGATTTTCGATATGAATGTGTTCATAGTCATCATTTTCACGCTTTAGATAACTCGCATATAAAAGGTAGAAACATGTGAGAATCTATCTCTTTACGCATTGAAAATAGAAATAAAAATATCATACGTAGCACAGGAAGCTAAAAGTACGCTGTTTTTGAAACACACGACATGCCTGGAACGACATGCAGAAGCTTCCGCAAAGGACACAGGTGCAGTTTTCGTGGAGCTCATGTCAGGATTTATTCGGACACAGTACATTATACAGGCCATACACAGCGTGGTGCTATCGATTTTTCCAGCGTGACTCCTTCCACGCCCTGTCCAAGAAACGCTATGTTCGACGTTCAGGCTTGGCTCCTACCGTTGCCGAATGAATTCCGAGTGGGTGAGCGTCCTCGGTAGGCCTTGAGAATACATATCGTACACGTGTAAAATGTCAGATATATATCTATATATAAGGACTCTTTTACTATCAAAACAGTTTTCCCTTGCCCTGTATCTGTGTTGTTTAAAAAAAAAAATCATTGAAATGGGAAAGCTGTGGCCGTTCTTGGACAGTTAGGCCTCGACAATGACGACTTTAGAAATGGCGAAGCATTGCGTAATGTGATGATATTAAACATTTTTCTCGTGTTTCCTGCGTAGACTACGTTTGTAGGGATTACCTGTAGGCAAGCGGCCGACTGCAATTGACGTGCGGAATTCTGTGAAAGGGCTTTCGAATTCTGTTATTGGTAATTCCAGCAGCTGCGTACTGCATGCAATATCAACATGTAGGACCTGTGCTTCGCTAAGACCAGCGTAATCTTGTCAATTTCATGCAATGCCCACAGGCCCAGATAATGGCACGACCTACAGCAAAACCTGTCGTTTTCGAACGGACCGTAAATAATCCACATTAGAAATTTGATTACAGTTCAAGTTCGATGCTCGCTTAACTATAAAATATAATACTTTAGTTTAAACCGTTAGCATATAAAAAGCATATATTTATAGTTTTAGTTATAAGAAACATGAGATCCTCGACGTGGTAAGCTCTGCAAAAAGTCATGTTAAAGCTAAATCGATATGGGCGCCAGCGGCAGTACGACGTTCGGCAATGTCTTGCGGCAATAACAATTATTTCCACTATAAATAATTATATTCTCTACGATGGCAAAACTGTCGCAATTCAAAAATCTTCTTTCAAAAAAAACAGTTTTTGAACGAGCATTACTCTATCTTTAACATAATATTATACTGCATACAATATCTGTGAAACTATTAATAAAGACGAGCATATCTCTATTTTTACTTTAGATAATAATAATAATAATTGTTATTGATTGTGCGTATATCTCGTAAAAAATTTCCAAAACTCCTGAGCAAATTCCATGATCGCAGGCTAGCAGAATCCCATAGCGGAAATGTAGAATAATGCTAAAGTAGGGATGGTAATTTTAAAAGTGTGCACCGAATCGTAAAATGGCCTAGGTGAAAGAGCACCTACCTATACAGAGTGGTTTCAATACGACACATGGATATCACTTATCACAATTATCTTCAGGAGAATTTTGTTTACCTAAAGTTAACCAGCAAATTGTAACTGGTTGTAAATTACCTGCCCAGTCTTAGGTCATTGTCCCAAGATCATTGAGAGATAACCGGAACAAGGTAAAATACGCTGGTTTATCTACGTCATTTATCGGAAAGCAAGGCGTCGTTAGTTATACTGTGTATGCTCTAAAAGACGCTACGTTGAATGTCATTGCTTGACTCAATTGTCGACGCTGTCAGCATTATAGAAACGCTCTGTGAAGGTAACTTAGGGAAGTGCAAGTACATGAATTGAAAATAACGCACAAGCTATTGACGAACGTCGTTGGTATAGCAACAAAAACATTGAAAAAAGATAATGACAACAAAGTTAAAACACTCACTGAACCACCTTCGATAGGCACAGGCATATGGGTTTCTTCCATATCAGGGCGGTTAGGGTTGGCCTAAAATAAAGGGTCGAAATTCTCGTCCTATCCAAAGGTGTTTGATTTCTTCCCAATCCGCGCCATATTATTCAGTCGTTTGTTTATTTTTTTCAAAAAAAAAGCTGCTTAAGGCCAGTTTTAAGCAGTCTGGCCAGCTCCAAGGTAAACTCCTGCCAGTATTGCTGTTAGCTATGACCGTCGAAATGCTTGTATAGGTGCCCTTTAGACTGAACGCGCATATCCGGTAAAGAGAGCTGAAAACGAAACACTTTTTACTGACAAACGATACAGATGATCACTTAAATTTAGTTGCGGGTACGCCTGCAAACATCGCAGGAGAGCAAGTAAAAATACAATGCAAACCATGTTTTACATATACAGATATTACGTTTTGGTTATGTAAGTTATGGTTATGCGTAAAGTTTCAATTTACGTTTCGATAATGTAACACCCCCTATGAAATTTATTTTATCTGATTTTTTTTCCAATTTTAGCAAACGAATAATAATTTATTAGTTCATCTCTAACCACCGAATCATTATTTAGATAGATTAGTAGATAGGTAGAAAGATTTACCGTTACATAAGCAACACCTTTAAACACGGTGAAGTTTCTGCTAGGATAGCTACATTCTTAAAGATTGACTATAACTCATCAAAAAAGCACGTCGTCCACTAAATTCGGTTATTGCCAAAATGTATAATCGCTTGCCTGGATAATACCAATCCTTTCATAAAGCAAGGAGAATCCTTAATTAAAAAAAAACGTTCCTTCAATATTACTTCACTTATCGCATTGCTGAGTCGCCGTATTCTAGGACGGTATCCACATCAATACATATATTAATCTTAAGAAACTAATAAAACAAACTCCTAAAATATAACCCATTTGTAGTAAATAGCCGAGTGTCAAAGGTAGATAGAACATAAGATTATTTAATAAGTTATATATTATTACACTTGGTACATACAAGCAAAAAAGTCAAGACAAACAAATACTGATTTCTTCTCAAGTCGACTGCCTATTTTAAGCAGAAATTCTACATAATAGTACCCAACATAGTACTCTCTGTCGTACTACAGACAGCAGTCGGTTTGGCTCGTTTGGGCAAATGACGGAATGTAGTTGCTTATTGGACCCCTGAATTTGTATAGTAGTCGGACCATGGATGTATCAAATGAGGTACGGTAGAGCGCACTTATACTACGGCCTAAAATAATTTACGTTCGCTAATGGCATAAGAGTTCCACGGCACCTGCGTAACCGCATTTTTTAGCTGTGACAACCACTGATGTCCTACTTTGACGATCATCTTTTAGTGGTTGTAACTCAGTGAATTAATCGTCTGCAGTTTAAGAAATTCCTCGTCAGTGACGTATCTATTGTTACAAGGGGCTTCTTTAAGGGGAAGATTTGAACTATGGGCTTCATGCACGACTGGAATCCCCGTGTGTGGTATATAAATCGATGCATTACGAACAGAAACAGGCTCAAAGGAATGGGGAGGGATTATTTAGCACGAGACTGGAGTTGGCGGTAAATTACATTAATCGTAAAAGTTTTTTCGAAATATTCCATCACCGGCAGGAGTACTGCAACCGTCGGTGGCTGTAAAAATCTTTCAGTGGATGATCGGCAGTTTCCACTCAAAACTGAAATGGCAGATTCTTATAGACAGACAAGGAAGTAAGTATTAGGGCTAAACGGACGCAGGCACTCACATGACACGCGTACAAGTAGGACGTCTATGGCACCGCTACAGCGTTCTACAGTAAAGAGTGACAATTTTTTTTTAGAACAGCATTACTATTTGATCAATGTTTAGTACGAAAATGCTTCGAGTTTTCATTCAACCGATAATAGAAACATTTGAAAATACACACATAGTGTGTTTCACCTGTTTCCAGGCTTTTGCGATTGTCGAATGTTCAAAGGCAGATGAAAACCTTCAAGGCTATAGAGAGAAGTAGCCATAACGTGGGATCTAGCATCGTTGCGGACCAGTTCTACAGTCAGGTATTGCCAGAAACTACAAACATGTTGCTGATATAACTCTTTACGATGCGCAAGTTGCATTTTAAGTGCGCGGGTAAACGCTGACGGATTATCGAGTACATTTATAACGATACACGTAAACCAGGTGAAAGCGGCGCTAGCAAAACGCACCAGCTGGGTTTCAGGCGAAATTTATATCTATCCATCATTTTTGTTAGGACCTCAAGTGTCTATTGTAATATGACGGGTATAATTGCGCAATAGCAACATTTAGAAAAAATTGTCCATCATCGGGATTGTTCTGGACCACACAACGAAAATGTTCCCTTCCATATTTTAGCGTTTTAAAAGCCAAAACGTTACAGCTCATGGAAGAGAGGTATCGATAGGCAGCATGGAGTAAAAATGTTCAGAGCTAAATGGCGCAACATGGCAAACTTACTTTGACAGTCATGTCAGCTGCTAAAAAATCCCACTTCATTGCGCAACAAAGTAAGGGCAAATGGCATTTTCATGCATCGCTGAGGAAAAAAATGGTTTAAAAGTATCTCTACATTGGTATAGTTGTAATTATAAGCTATAATAAATCATGGGTTATAATTATTATATTGTGGGACCTTACAGATGGACTAATTAGCAGATTATTCTGCTAGTCTAAGGTAGACACACGCAAAAAAGCTCGGTCGGAGGATGAAACTAGGTGGACGAATCTGTTACAAGAGCCAGATAAGTCAGTTTCAAGTTATTTAGATATTTATAAATGACGAAGTCGGGTATTAGTTAAACTTACTTGTAGTGCGTGCTGGACTTTCTGGAATAAATGCGATTGAATGGGCGCCGATCTAGCTAGAAACGTCCATCTGTATCTATACGTAATGGATATACCTGCGACGAAGCGAGACGTGATTAGAAGTTACCCTTTGCACCGAATATAAAGACAGTAACAATAGTAAAAGCAACAATAGGAGATATTTCAACGTAATAGAAGTGTGTCCGTTAGTGTTAAGGATATTATCGTTGATTTGTTCGTTCGGACCATTGTACCAATTCGATATATCAGCAATCGCATCACAGCACACAATAACTAACACAAAAACAACTCCGTTGGTAAACATTGCATCGGAAATATAGAAAGCACCAGCTTGTCATAGGGGGAACCTTCAGGGGCGCGAGTAATTCATCTTGATTTGGTACATTGGTCTATCGGTTCGTATCGGAATTGATTTATCACACTAATACCGAACAGTGAAATTTATAGAACTCGTACTGGCCATCTCTGGGAGGGCGACCTAGGCTCAATATCAACTATAGTATCGGTATTTTACGAGCACAAATAGTATTGAATAAAGTGCATCATATCCAACAATGATTTTCAACGACTCCTATCACAGAATTATCTGCGATAACATATAGCACTGCAACAGAACTACACTGGAGCATTTTGACGCCTTCTGGTTAAACGGGAAAGCAAATAGTGTCCGTATTCGGCAGGGAAAGAAACGTGCCAGCAACAGCTAAAGGTTTCATGGCACATTTCGGACTGGGAAGCGAACGACGGCGGGACTTGAGCAAATAATAGGCCTTGCCCCCATTTTGCCCCCCTGCCCCCCCCCCCCCCCAGTGCTAAGGCCGTTGTCTGCTAGGCTGTTAAGTTATCGCTATGCAGAACCGTTACTGCCTCTAGAACAGCCATAGATGCAATATCGCAATATTCAGCTGCCCCTCTTTGAGGAACTTCTTCACGCAAATATGAAGTCGAGTTTCACAATCGACATGAAGCCGTTTAAGGCTCGTTTACAAACTAATAGATACAATCAGTAAAAACATTTATGATCTCTAATCAATAAAAAAAAAACTTAACGATCATCAGCCTGATAAGAGCTAGGTTATTTCTAGCTAGACGTCATGACAGGATAATAGAAATGCAAAACAGCGCTTGCTCTTCCCGTATGACAAGATATACTTGCTAAGCTAAAATGCCACGAATCTAACCATTAAAGGAACATACTGTTAGTAATTATTTAAATGTTATTATAAAAATCGTCTGATCTGATAAAGTTTAGAAAGTTTGCAAGCGAATTCAATACTTTACCAAGATTTTACCGATACAATATCGAATACAGTTTATCTGTCTGAGTGCCATCGTAGGGGTGACGGCAAGCAGCGTGTAACCACCGTTGGTTCCAATCTTGGCGATAATGGAAGTACTACTATAGAAACGCAGATTGAGAAACTCGGGAAATCAGAACGAAAAACTTTGTTGATGCGTTATGTTGATTGGTACAGCGTTAAAATGGTGCTTCCATCTGGTCGTACAAACAGGTGAAGGTATTATTCACAGTGTCCATAGGAGAAAACGTTGTTTATAAAACTTAATACTATCCAACCTTTAGAATTGTTGAGAGACCTACCAGGAGAAAAGATTACGGTAAAACACTGGTTAGTTTTTTTTTTTTCAGAAAAAATAACTGCAACCACTGTCATTCTAGGAGAGGCAATACATGCGTGCATTTGTGTCGTGTACCTGAAGAGACTATATTAGTGGTACACGTAAGGATATATCATGCCCAAAAACAGATTCATTACATACAGAAAGGACGCCAGGCACCATTTTCTAAACGAAGTATTTAATCCTAGACGCTGACAGCGTGTAGAGTTTATGCGATATGATAGTGCGTTGGACTGTACAGCAAATGGATAATATATTTTGATAATTAAAATACGTACGAATATACTTAGACTGGACAAAATTTATGAAGATTTAGACCTTCTAGACAAAAGCATTTTTATTCAATTGCATTTTCACATTGAGACTATGCTTACGTCAACAAACAAGAGGTCTATCAATATGTTCTGTTTTGCTGCGACGTTAAGAAGCGTTTAAGAAGAAGATTAAGGTAGTTGTGAACAGAAAACCTATTTGAATTTATATCTAAAATGTCTCACTTCAATTTTACCTAAAATTCTATGATGTTCTTTAATTAGATGCAGAGTCATTCATTCTCTATGGTGAACGACGCTCGTTTGTCGGATACGTAAAAGGTAAGCATCATACAGGAACGGTGATGCTTTGCCTGCGTAATTGATAATCACCTCGTGATTGCTCGCAAGTTTATATGAAGTTTCGCTAATGCGTTTATGCACCAGTTCTCTTCGTCTAGTCGTGCGGTCAGGAAGAAGTGCGCTTCACCTGAGAAGATTATCTTGAATGCAAAATGAAGGCTGATTTCCTGGCTATTTTTAAGTCGACTTAACTTTACCAGGGGCCGAACATCAAGGTCTTTGTGTAGCACGGTACGACAAGCTTAATTGTTGCGGCCGGCGGGAAATTGGAGTTTTCAGATTTCTTAATATGTCCTTAACTACAGCATTGAAAACTTCAGTGCGGATTGTTAGTACGTGTCTAAGACGTCTACAGAGAAACATCTACAGAGCTGGCGACAAGACGACGCAAAAAGGTCCTGGGAGATACAAAAAGGCCTATCATTTAGTTTCAGAATAACTATTTCTATCAAAGAAAAAGCTCGATAAGCTCAATCTTTTAATTCAAATCGATGAGTGAATGGTGTTCTCTGCCTATTTCTAGGGACAGTATTTTGCTCATATCAGTAGCTTGGTTGTAAGGCAAATATTTGAATCAGTTTGATACATTGAGAATGGCTATCTTTACGATAATAATACATTGTATTTGGAAAGTTGCGTTAATGAAACGAGGCTGCGCAAAAGTATTATGGGGGCCTACAGAATATGAATAAAGCTAATGATTCGGCCGGCCTCGTGAGAGGCTACACAGAGTAGAGCCTGTGTCCTACCTAATAAGGTATAGATATGATCGATGGCTTAACGACGACAAACTAATAGTCAAGGTGCGGGACTATGCAAAGAGCTCACTCGTTAGATAGACAAAAACACCATAAAAAGTTTATTTGAATTGCGCAACTTTATAGGACAGCAGCTTTCTCTGTTTATCCAAATTGTATATCGTTTGCGTGTCGTTGGATGAACTTGAACCATTGAAAGTTTTTGCTCGTTCATAACTAGACGTTTGCCTCTATAAGCTGAGCATATAAACAGCGCCACAGCACCATAACTATTGTGTAATATAATAATATCCTTTTGCCGCTAACAGCTCCCACACGAGCTCAACCTATATCGACCATCGCGAGGCCTGGATTTGGATATGATCTTTTAAGATTGTTCCGAACCGTTTGGGTCAAAATTCCAGGTTTATGTGTAATTATTAAAGCTGTGATTTTTATAGATCTCTTCTAGGTTATATTCGCCAGTTGTTACCTAGACCTCAACAAAAGCACTTCAGGCCAGCTTAACGCATGCAACAATGTCTCTCTTCTGTTATGATATCATCTATAGCAAGTATTTCAGAAGTGACATTCATTTCTGTCCATACATTTATATGGTGGCTCCCTTACTTAGTTGATGTAGGGATCTGACCCAAATTGACGCTTTGGGTTTAGGCTAATTGTCACGAGGAGGGAGGCCAGCGGGTTCCGCTGGAAGAACTTCTTATACGATGTCAAGAAAACTCATAGAATAAAATCTAAAAGACGATACAGTTTATGGGAGTGTTTTCTTTTCGAAATACTTTAATCTAGCTTCGTCTTGCATTTATTTAAAACTTATGTTTCAAATGGGGCAGACATGCTGCGAATATGTTCGATTGCAGAAGGACGACGGCACTGACCGTCTCACTAATTTATGGCTCACTTTGCTGTGGCTCTGTTTAGCAACACTTCGCTTTTAGCGCTTCATGCTTATCGTCGCTGCATACGATATACCGATATATCGGGTACGTAAGGGCAGACGACGAGAACAGAGCAGGTACAGTTCCGGCCTACGAATGATGGTCTGTTTACTATCGTTCCACTTTTCCTACAGTTTATACCCAACAGACTTCCAACCCACATCCGCGCTGTCAGTGGCGAGTGCCGCTAAATTCTAAACGCAAATTGAGGATTTGAATGTGCATTAAACGAAGATGGCGTCCGACCTGATACGGTGCCATCATCAACGGCAATATCAGAAATGTTGACGCATGCGCCTTTCTGTCAGATGAAGCAACGTTCTCCTTTCCCCCAATGGATGGTCATTCGCTGACATGAGGAAGTAGGCGGTGGTAGGGATAGAGCAAGCCGAGCCAGCGCCTGCTGACAGCGGTAGCTGAAATGTCGTGTAGCCTGCACTTGGTCGAAAAGCCTACAGGCGGAGTAGGCCCATTCTGCGTCTGTCTGCCTTCTCTTTTTCTGGGAGAGATTTAAATACGGCCATCCTTGCAGCTTCCTAGATGGAGACCAATAGAGTCATTAACAGCTATCCTATACACAGAAACGATGGAGAAGTGAGCCAGCGATGCCTATTGATTACCACAACTATGCTAACTGACCCACAAACATCTAACCGGCGACAAAACCCTTTCATTTCGGTGCACCGCTGCGGCAGCGATTGTATGCAGCTGGTAGTTAGAGACACTCATAGAGACAACAAGAGGCCAGAGCGATGCCTGTCTGTCCATCTTAGAGAGGAATCGTTTCGCCCTCAACCGTTTGAAGGGGCAATGTGCCACAGGAGTAGTGGTCGCGAGCTCACGGGTGGTTTGGTATTAGTGGATTTGCGATTCGAGAGCCGCTTAAGTGAGTCTAAGGGAAAGGAAACCACCTCGAGCCTAGGCCGAGTGCAGGCCCAGGGAAAACCAATCAGCTTGCGTAGCTTACCGCCAAACCAACTGTAGAACGAACACGAGTGCTACGATTTCGAAAGCTGCTTCACTGAAGTGTCGTAAGTTTGTTTACCTCACTCGTCGCAGCCGATAAGTAAGTCGCTTAACTGTTTGATATCCGATAAGTAATAGGTTCGTATCAGTTTCATTATATTAAGTTTTCAACACAGGTAGCCCTACGCGCGCGTATTGTAAAAAACATACACTTCTTGACCGCTGATGTTTAGCTAAATTTCGCATTGATGCCTTTTGTAGAATTACGGACCCCCATTATTTACTTCAGGTAGAGTTGATATTGGCAGCTGCTACAGCCGACCCTTCATATAGTAACACGAGATCACAGCCACATGCTTGCAAATATGTACCAATATAAACATGTAGGTAAGCTACATTTGTACTATAACCAATAATAGCTAATACGATAAACTGAATAGAATAAGAAAAATAAATACGTGTGATCGTTCAGCATACATTTAAATATGTGGAGGATACATGGAACGACCAGTACGTCATGACTGTCCTATTACATCCGCACCCCATCATCTTTTCAGTGGCAATATGTCGGCCGGCTTTCGGTGAATCAGCCCACGCATCAATGATGGGGAATTTTGAGACTTTATTCTAACGAGGTGACGCCGTGTTCCCAAGCGGTCTAGCTGATTTTTTCCTAAAGACGTAGATTGCGAACGCATCGTATGTATCATTTTGCCACATCAGTTCGTTTTCATCTTATATCAGCGTGCATATATAATATATTTGTCCGCCACTGTTTCTGTAAAAAGCAAAAATTGCCACTGGAATATACTACCTTATATCCCTCAAGCATTTTTATTCGATAGGCACTCTAGTTAAGCGCAATAACATTGTCCGGGTACTGCCCCGATTCCGCAGCGTTTGTTTACGCGGAAAGTTGTCTAGGTAACGCAGGCTCCTATAGTAAAGGGCGTAGCAGGGCAAGTTTACTCTTCTACGGCTGTAAGCTCAGTAATTATTATATGCCTATATTTACTGCGGCTTCCGCTAAAACATTTTCTACATGCAATCTATGAGTTATTTAACAGCTACTAAACGGTGTGTTAAAAACTTTTTCATATCGCCAATAATTTAATTCTTTTTAATTTCGCAAATTGTAATTCGTGCGTGTTGCCATGCGAGGACCCTGTCACTTCAGCTTAATGTTTCGAGAACGATTTATTTTGCTTCAGGAGGCCGTACCTCACGCGTCAGCGTATTGCAACCGCTAACCGGCATCCTTGGAGCGTAACGCCGGTTTCGTGTCGGCGGAACGAACACCAAAGCTGTCTCGTTCCTTGAGCCACTCTAATATACGTGGTAGATAGATCGTAGTTAGGCAGAGCTTTGCTAAAGCCCATTTGATAAATACTAAAACCCACTTAATAAGAAATTTATTCGGAAAGGCAGTATTCTAGTCGATCACTGTTTGGTTACCTATTCCTATACCTCTCTATGTTTTAAGTCTCACGTCTGGTGTCGCCGTCAGCTATCCCTACAGACGGCTGGCTCACAGCACGAAATAAGGCGACCTATACAAAGGTCGTACGAGAAACTTTTCCGTACTTTATGGTACAAGCCACTAGCTAGTTTTATAAACTTTTTTTGTGCTATCGTAGAATCACTACCCTGTACCTCTATATAATGCTGATCCATGTAATGTAACCTAATCGATGTAGGTGTTTATTTTTCTTGTCCCTTTGACAAATTCTACAAGTTGATCTGGGCCACGCAGTGACCAAGCAACACCGTAAAACCGTTAAGTAAACCTTTTCTGGGAGACGCTATATGTTGTTGGGTCTGTCATGACGGCAACCAACGCTTATCTTCTCCCCATGAATATTGAACACGATAATTGGAGTCACAGATAATCTGTATAGGTACCCAGAATAAAAGTGCCTAACTCGCTCTATTGTTTAAGGCTGACGTTAGCGATGATGCGATTCCTAATTGTACCGCTGTTAGGACAACCGATAAAGTGCTTTGAAGGTTAATAGCATGGGCGTGTGGGAAGCATGTTGGGCGTCAGTTATTTTTATTGGCACGTCGTACATATGCACTGACAAACCCAGCAGCGTTTCAGTTTATTTGATCCGGGTCGAGGAAGGCGTTTGGACATATCCAAATATTCCACTGAAACTCTTTTTCGTAGTGACTACGAAGAGGTAACGGCTCTCTTGGTATTTAACCGATGTTGTTATTAGACAATAGTACCATGCTGATATTCATCGATCGTTCAGGATATCAGAAATGTATCGCAAAATTGGATGTTTTTCATACAGACACATCGTGCCCAAAATAAAGGTTAACATTATCAACAAACCGTAAAATAATTCAGGTCAGGCATCTGCACACAGCTGCCGTATCTTATTTTTCGTGCTGTACGGCGTCCGTGGCGTATGTCTAAAATGTTGAGCTCTAAAGTTAGACACTCAGAGAGCGCCTTATTACACGCTGTGAATTATTGTCGTAGATTAGCTTGGCCCACTTTTTGGATGGATTATTTTTTAAGAAGAATCGAGCCTCAACGGAGCCATAAATCAAATAAACATATCTTCATCATATGAACTCAACAAGCAAAATCCTTATAAGAAGCTTGCAATGAGCTGACGGATTAGCTGAACTGAGCTTCCTGAATAAATGTTCCTTCATCATCACACACCTGCTGTTCTAAGCCCTGGATTGGAACCGTATCTACATCGCCATTTCTGTTTCGAGATAATCCAATGGAACAACAGCGCGGTATCTCCAAGTCCCTCTATTAGAGTGCGGCCCAAGATGCGGGAAGCAGTGCCTGAGGGAGAAGCTATATATTAGCTAGCGGGTGTGATGTGATTTATTGATAAATCAATAAAGATAGATCTGGCAGATGTTGGACTTCGATGTCGAGCTACGCAGCTCGAAATAAAACTTCATTAATACTGATAAAAATTCGTTTTCTGTTGCTTCACGTTCGACGCTGCCTTCAAGCAGTAGAGCAAATTGCAGATGGGACTGTTAACCCAGCGAATACGCGGTCAGTCGAATTCGTGAACGCAAACTGTGTTTCTTCCCTATGTAGAAAACATCAAATTAGTATAGAGCGCTGTAGAAGTAGATCAATATGAATTTGGCTGTGTTTAGCTAACATATTCACCTGTACGGAAACAGATCCCTTGCTGCGAATGAGCATATACAGGACTAACAATCAGATGAACGATTTCCCAGTTCTGGCCGTAAGAAACTGCTCTGAAAATTTCGCACGGTGCAACGGTAAACCTTTTATTTGAGCCGCACAAAAGCTTATTGATTTCTATCCGAGTGAGTCGAGCGAAAATAGCAAAGCACTTTGCAGGCGAAAGTTTATGTAACTTGCTATAAATCGTAAGTAATGTGGGCTATAGTTAATTCAATCATAAGCGCCTTTCTTTATAATAATAAGTTTTTTTTATTCCAGGCAAGATGACTATCGAAGTGTCAGATCATCATTTATCAAAAGTGCAGGTTGACGCTAAGACCGTTAGCAGCTTTAGCGGAAATAATAAATTATCGAGAACGCGGAGACAGACATGTGAGTTCGCAATTTCCGTGTGATCTCCGCGAAGTTAGGCATACTTAAACGAAGTTTGCGACTGATCTCTGAACAATACTTACTAAGTATTATTTTCCTTAAAAGCTACGCATATGAGTGACTGTAACTTAGAGAAGATCTGAGTGTTTTTTGTTAAACAATTTGGTACTTGCAAAATTTTATTAATGCTCAAAAATAATGGAATTAGATAACTTAACTAATGGATGAGGTTGGTCTTCCCTATTTTTTAGGCTGGTTTCAATACCGCTACGCATTAATTGTTCTAAGCTTTTTTGGCTTAGCGTTAGTGTATGGGATGAGGGTGAGCTTCAATGTGGCTTTGGTTGGCATGGTCAATCAGTCGGCAATTGCAAAAGGGGTTCAAACAGGAATGTGTCCGAAGCTACAGGATTCACTCGTCACAACAGTCAATCTTCAGAACGAGAGTGAGACGTATAGGACACAACACCAAGTTGAGGAGAAAAAGGTCACCGTCCGATTTTACGTGATAACAGACATTCCTTTGTTAACGTACCCATGATTTTCTATACGAGTAGACGTTTGGGTGGTATATGTGTGTGAAACGGTCACCATTATTAATAGTATATTATTGTTTTGATTATAATTATCTGGACTCAATTGATGTATCAGAAGCTGGTAACACAAAGGCTTCAAACAATATAAACGGCCAATTCGTTACTTTCAGAGCTGCCTAACTATTCGTTGTTAGTTCGACTAATTTCCCAAATGGTCTAAGTATGCTCTCAAACTATTTTTCGTCGATCATCAAAATGTAGTCTTTCGATGGTCGTATGACACGTCTTTTTTTTGTTGTAACCTCTAGAATGTGACATGGCCAAGTTGTTGAGGGCTAATTTAAGGTATCTTGTTTTTATTCTATTTGCCCTGATCTGCATTTACCTACTCCAGGACGGACCATTCAAATGGGAGCTGTATACTCAAGGTATCATTTTAGGAGCCTTTTATTACGGGTGAGTAGATATTCCAGTGGACAATTAGCATATTGTCAATTTGACAACGACAAGATTTGCTCACGATAGGCGTATCTATATATTATCTACTTGTCACTAACGTATGCTCAAAATAGACCCAGTGAGCTAGCTCTCATAGCCACCAGAATATCGATAGGGGTGAAGCTGTGCATTTCGTCCTCTCAAACCTGGATAGTTAAAAGGTTACTTCTAGTTAGGCTTTATTTTATTCTTTGATTACAGATCCTGCTTGTAATTTTTTTATTGTAGTAACGCTTACGGTCCAATTTCCAGCTACATCATTACGCCAATACCGGGCGGTCGTTTGGCTGAAAAATACGGAGCGAAATGGCTGTTTGGAGGCGGCACCCTGATTACCGGATGTCTCAATTTACTTATTCCTGTAGCCTCAGTATACGCAGGCTCCACCGGCCTGATTATTGTCCGGATGCTTCAAGGCCTTGCGGAAGGTATGTGTGCCACTTATTAGGAAACCGCTAAACATTGTGCGTATTTGTCCCGGAAGGCGCCATTTAAGTTTCTGCCGAATAATTTTACGTTTGTATTTGCTAGCTAAGTTATTTATTATTTTATGGGTTATGCCGTTGCAGGTGTAACCTACCCTGCAATAGAAGCCCAAATAGCGCATTGGATTCCGGCAAACCAAAGGGCAACAGCTGTTGCCCTCACCCATACGGGTGGATTCTTTGGCATTGCTATCGGCATGTACGTCTCGGGTGTTTTGGCAACTAGCGATATATTTGGCGGTTGGCCATCAATATTCTATATTTTCGAAATCTGGACAACTATATGGTTCGTGTTCTGGGCCTTACTGACATCTAACCGACCCGAAGATCATCCGTGGGCTTCACAAGAGGAAATCGATATGATCCTGTATAACCTAGGCGATCAAAAGCCAACTCATGTATGTGGATAGAGATGAAAGAAAACATACGTTGAATTGCTAATGGTCATTTAGGTAACTAAACTAGCAGTCTTTGCTAAAACTTGATTATCTACTCAGCGAATTTTAACTTAAAGAGTATTAACGGGGCTATCTAGAGAATATACGCTTTTTTTTTTTTTACAGTCCGTTGTATTCGGAAGCCATTCTAATTCGGTGGTTATTTTATTGTGAAATAAACTAACTACAAATAGTACAACTACTTGTAGTTCAATACGTTTCAATAACATATTCTTTCGTGTCACCAGGCTGCATATACTCCGTGGAAGAAAATTTTTACGTCTCCTGCTGTTTTTGCCGTGATTTGTGCACACTTCGGCACACATTGGCTGCAGTACATACTGGTCACCGAGCTTCCTACTTACCTCGGAACCGTACTCAACTTCAATATTTCCGATGTAAGTGCGAAAGTTAAAATCCTAGGCTAGTTACCAAACTGGTCATCCCATCACAGTTTGGAAACTGCACGAACTTAGGATTTATATAGATTGTGGAATTAAATAAAACAGAGTTACAGTTGTTAAAACGGAAAATACGAAAGCAACCGCGCAAACTGTTGCTGAAAGGTCTGATGTTTCTAGCAAGTAATGATTGCTTACACCGTTAATCATTAAGTACCTTGAATGAGAGATAGACAAACGTCTGTTATTTTTACTAATTATCACACATATATACATAACCAGGCGCCATATAATCGTGCGTAACCAACTAATCCATAATAATCAGCATAATCATTGTCATCATCATAGCTTTTATATATTTTTGTCTTGCTATGTCTACGCGTATTTCTTGAGCGGTAGTGCGAAACGCTCAGCGAGGCCAGATCAGTTTGACTGGTGGTACGTCTGTGTTATGTCTGTTAAAGTACTCTTGTCCACCAGATATCGGCCTTCGCAAGATAGTGAAAGTATTCTGTCGATCGAAGACAGGTGATGAATGCGAACAAAAGCTACGCACGTTTTTATCGTTCATTGACGTCAAGCCTTCTAATTGTTCTTCGTAGGGGGCATAGGTTTTATGTGGGGCCATAGCTGAAGAAATGTATACAGTGTAACTTCATTGTAGGGATCCATTATGAAGATCCAAATTTTAGGGGTGCAGTTTCGAAGCCCTTTGTGTAGCTCAGCCAAGAACTAAAATGTACCTGTTTATTGTTTACTTTCAAATAATAGAACGGACTCTATTCCTCGCTACCCTATATGGGTGCGATTATCGCAGGAGTTTTCTCGGGCCCCTTAGCTGACTGGATGCGCAGACGTAACTTTATGACTGCAACCAACATTCGGAAGCTTTTCAACGGATTAGGTGGGAAGTCATCGAATAACTTTTATCTTTTTTCCTTTACCATCGTTCCACTGAAACACGTCTCTTATAAAGACTATCATTTGTGATCTTTTCGTAAAAATGGTCATCAGTTAATCTATTCTTTGCTTTGAATTGTGGAATTGCTTTTCAAGCTCACGTGGTCCCTTCGATCATGCTTATTTGCGTTGTGTGGGTGGCTGGATGCGACGGGGGCCTTTCGCTCGTCCTGTTTGTCATAGCTGGTACAATTCGAGGCATCTCGGAGGCTGGCTATATGTGCATACCTCTTGACATGGTGCCTGACTACGCTGGCACCGTCCTTGGCTTATGTGTTTGCATTGGGAACACCACCGGCTTCATTGTCCCCTGGGTTACCGGCGCATTCATAAACGTTGAGGTAAGTACATCGTCTTCACCCTACCTAACATGTTTGCGTACATTCACTATCTGGTATTCGTATGTATACTTATTTCGTCAGATATTTCAATAAACTATATCCTACAAGCCGTCGAATGTTACTTATTTCACTTACTTACTTAACATTTGAATAAGACTTACGTTCACTGTTGACAATGCCTAGCGTATGCTTAATTTCTATGCGTTAAAAAGTTTGCCGATTCTGAGTGAACTAGCTACTGTTTGTATTCCAGAACTCAACGACTCTGTGGTCGTACGATTTCTACGTGGCAGGCGGAGTAGGACTTGTAACAGGTCTCGTGTTCCAGTTGTTCGCGTCAGCTGAAGTTCAGGAGTGGGGCATCGCACCCAAAGATTCTTCGACAGAAGAGCAAAGGGCCAGTAGCCGAAACGACCACTATAAACCACCGCGCAGTGCAGATTGGAAAATGGTTCGAACGAGCCCAGCGTAGACTTTTCTTATGTCTTGGCCGGAGCTTTTCGTGCTCCATTGTTTAAATCGCGTACGTCGTCTCCAAGTCCATTGTACAATTGCTATACCCCTATAGTATCAATTATTTATTGACTAAAAATTTCACTAATAGGAGTCGGAAATCAAGACGTGACGTTTGTGGGTAAAATCCTTAGATATTCAGCAACCTCCAGCGTCAAGCGCCGTGTGGCCTGAGATTTCCAAAGCATCACCTAGGTCGACCTTGTCAAGCTAGACATACAATCGTTAGTAAGATCTCTATAAACGACCTATTCATTTCAAGACCCGCACAGAATTGGAATAGCAAAAAACTAGTGACAGAGAAGAAAGGCAACCAGAGTAGTTGACCAGCCGAGTTTATCTGACTGGCCATTTTGCTGTTCGACTGTATATTAATCTTAAAAAAAAACTTTTTTTGTTTTTTTTTTTACTATTAATTAATGTCGAATTTAAAGTAAGCATGAGGCAGAAAAGAAAAGACAAACCGAAATATAGGAAGATATCATCCTGGGCTGCTTGCTTTGTTTATGTGAAACAATATTTGTCCGACAACTGATGTCCTCTATCCACATTAAGTGACCTCCTATTTACAGAAAGTGAAGTAGTCCTGACATATCAATCATTATGCGTGTATATATACTGTATATATATTGCTGAAAAAGGTACTAACGTTCTATAGTGTTCTCTGTATAAATTAAAGTAACAACAACAAATGTTCTTTTATTAATTGTGGTAATATTCGTATCATTATTCAGCTGTTAGCTAGTGTAAGCAAGACATATTTCATGGCACTGAAAGCTCTGCAGGCAAGATTTTTTCTGTTTTCAGTGCTCGCATACGTTTTTTTTTATGTATCCTATTATCTCTCAACTCACTCAACAACCCGACGTTATTTATTTATTTTTTTTTATATAGTCTCTAGTTTACTTATTCTAACAGGATGGTCAGATAATATTAGCTAATAATACTCCTGTAGATAAAATAAGTTAATATTAGGTAGAAAGAAGTAAGTATCGAGTCCATTTCGCGATCTAACGATGGAGCAGGTTACGATACGGTGTATACTAATTTGTAGAAGCAGGGAAAATGAGGCTAAATGACGATATAATGAAAAAATGTTATGGCTCAATAATTGCGTATCTGTCGTTTGTAAAAAAAGTTTCGTTACCCTTTTTCGCTTGAATAAGTCAATATAAAAACTGACAGTTTTTGGCTAATATTTCAAGAAGGCTTTAATAACTTCAGCTCAATGAGCACTCGTTTAGCAGGATGAGAGAAATCCATGAAGTTTTATTACTTTATTGCGAACTTGCTGCGGAATAATTGGTTTAGAAGTGAACGTCAAAAAACAGAAAATTATCAAGGAAGTATTGAGCTGAATAGCAAGCGGTCTGCGTCGACGTCATGGACGTGTACAAAGCTAGTCGTGTACTAAGTACGAGAACCATCTTGTGAACCACCTTCCGTGAAGTCTGTGACAAAATGGCGCAATCGTTTGTCAAATTATTTTTTCAGTTGAAACTATGAATTGAAATGTTAACAGAATAGGAGATCACTGAACGCATAATTCCTTTACACGTAAATTTTGGCAAAAGCGTTGGGCAAGGATGTATCGTTACCCAATGTATTGCGAGTATTTCGAAAAGTATACCTTTACAGTAATGTAGGTGGTGTTACTACAAGGTACGTAAACCCGAGTTCTTCACTGCACTCATGATACGACTCATAGAAGGTCCCTGATTAGGTAGATTCACTCTTACATATAGATGTTTATGTTTATTGTTTGTAACCTCTCAAGGTCTTGTCATTTTTTTTTGCTGAAATATTCAGGTATTTTAAATTCATCGGTGCTTGTTGCTGTAGTCTTCAGTTACGATAATGTAAGAAGTAACATCGGGAGACCTACAGCCCGTCTACCATAACGGCATCTTCCATATAAGCAATTAGGCAGAAGGACCTTAGCCATCGATCGCTTTTAGCCGTAATGGTCAACGTAATGACCCCTACATTATGCGATGTAGTGTATTTAAGCGGTAAAACGCGTTCATTGCATTAGTTGACATGCACAAGCTTGACTATATAACTAAAGACTCCGAAAATTCTGGAAATTGAAGTTAGTGATTGTTTAATATATATATATATATATATATATATATTCATCAGGGATATAAACCAAAATCAAACGTACCAGGCACTCTGAGCTAAAGGGCGGATTTGAGTGAGCTCTGGATCGTCATTGGCAAGCTGTGAAAATTAGTAAAAACTGAGACCTGTCGATTGATTACCGAATGAAGAATAACTTAAGTGTAATATTAACTGAAACATTTTTCTAATTACGTGTCGCGCATACTTTCAATGTCAGGAACTAACACAATGGTTTCCTTATGGATTATCACTGACCGCTGTCGATAACCAGTCAACGTCAAAATGATCAAAGTCTTTACAGAAAAAATGTATGTTTCACCGTAGCACACTATTGGTTGCATAATTCAGAGAACTTTCTGATGATGCCGGCGCTCAACAAACCGTCACTAGTGTTGGGCGCAGAATAGCATGCAAAGCGTACGAAGCCATTATTAGAGAGGGCATAAAGGGCAACGGTTCATGTGTCAAGCATGATTTCCACACTATTTCAAAGGCTTCTTAACTGGTATCAGGACCCCACCGTCTTTTGAGGCTTGATATGGTCAAAACGATCCGATAAAGGTTATCAATGTAATCAGGCCCTTGAAATGATAGGCTGTGAGGAAGGCTATAACGGCGCAGGCTATCACATTTTACTGGTTTGGCAAACGACTGTGTATAAAAAAACAGGCGTTTAAAGTCTAGAATCAAGGCTTATTTTCGCGGGTGGAACCTGGATAGTGAGTTCTATTGTCATGGGTACATGAGCTTGAATACTTGCGACCTCTAAAAATGGAAGAGTCTCACCCTGAAACTTTGCCCTATCTCTAAGTGCATTTATTGCAACTACATCGATAATCGAACTTGTTATATGCCCCCGACAAAATCGACATCGAAATGAGATCGACTATTCGAAGTCCGCAATCGTGCCTTCTACGGGCGTTGCAGTCGCCGACAATGACTAGTAGAGAAACAGAATGAGGAAACACCGCTTTCAGGCCGCTCACGTGTTCCTCCATTAGTGCGAACATTAATTCAGAATCAGCCTATCGGACAAAGATTGTTACGAAGCAAAGTAGTTGGCCACGAAAGCAATGATATTCTTTTTGATTATGCATCGCACGAGGCTGCCTATCCTATAAATCTATGTACTTACATACGAGGATCCCTCCACTAGGATTTACTGTCCTATTGCTTTTCAGTGGGGCGTATCCTATAAAGTATAAATTCAGTAGGTTTAGCAAGCCAATTGGTCAACAATGCGTTGGCACGAGGAAGGTTGTACTGTTCAGGGCTTCCGCGGAGAAAAGTGCCAGAACTGCTGGCCCCCACCATTTTGCCATATGATCGTTAGGGTTTCTTGAAATATGGTCTTGCTACGTGTTATTTGATCATCTTCGCGAGCGGCCGCGATGATCGGAGGCGCGGCGTCCTGAAACCAGCTCTCCTATGGTCAATCCCACCAAAACCTGTTCCCTGAAATAGTCGACCTTAAGTAAGGATTAAACCTGTTGGCTCTAGTCCATCTGCTGTATGTGGTGCTTCGGTTCTCACCAGCGAATCCTCCAAGGCAGCAACGCGGCTTTTCCGTGAAGCGTTATTTGCCTATAACTTCTATCGCCTTTCATTTTTCTTTTAGTACATTTTAGTAAAAAAGAAAAGCATACAGTAAGTAAAGTAGCATAAATACGCTTCACGAGATGCAGCATAATCTGTTAGCGTGGAAAGTACTTCATAATTTTTGAATAACAAACCATGTTTTGTCCGCTTCAAGTATTTCTGACAAATCTGACTTTGGTCTGTACAATATATAATGTTTGAAAAATTTATGTTTTGCTTGTGTCATGTGATTTTGCTATTACGTACGGAGAGGTATTTATTTAGTCGTGGGACTATCAACATATATAGTATATTGTAGGGTGCTGAGATATATGCCTTTAAATTTCTGTTCAAATAAATCAGCTAGACTAAATTAATTTGTTTCTACTTTAGGCATTTTTTCGTCGTCACTTCATCAACCGACAATAGGCCGCCACTTTGACCTTTTTATTCAGGGTCCTCTAGATATATATATACATATATATGAAAGATCCGTCTTTTCCTAATCTTGTGCGAAGTAGTACCTTCGTTATTTAAACCTCTGTTAAAGTAGACGCATTATCTTCAAGGATCCATCGACTTGTATTTTTGCAACGAACATTTCTGGCTACACTCGTTTAAAGCTGATGATTCTACTTAGAAAAAGAAGTAGAGTCTTGAAGACCGGTACTGGACACGAGGCTCTTGCTTATGCGGTCCTAATCTGTTATATGGAAGTACTGCGTAAACATTTCGAGTATCGTAACATGTCAAGTCGTCCACTCCTTAATGATTCTATAAATACGTAGTTTATCATCACTTTTCGAGTCCTTACTTTTATGGCATGTTCGTGTGACGCACATAGGTACATCGTAGTTAAAAGAATAAAAAATTCAAAATTATGTACAGATTAAAGAATTAAAAGATCCGATCAAAATAATGACCATCTCTAACCTGGAGGAACAGACTAAAAATGATCTTCATTCAATGACGCTCACAACTACTAGACTCCGGTGAACGATGTATTACTCTTGTCTAAGAAGTACTAAAACAGTAAATTTCGCATTTTGATACCACCACTACTGTGATATTCTCGTCCCGTCCCACTCCATGGGGGACTCGCGGTCTAGCAGTCCGCGTTGCAGCAGCCGTCGGGGATCAGAGTTACGATAAAACAGCAAGCTATGAAAAAACACGAACTAATGATTTCAGGCGCCTTTTGAAACAAGTTTTAGTATTTGACTTTCTAGCGATCTAACCAGGCAGTGCGTACCGACTGGCCGTCAATGATTCCTTACTTTAATTAAAATGAGATAACAACTCGAATTTAACAAGGTTTATTATTACTTTTTAACATTAACGTTCGTTTTATTCCAAGCCGAATCCTGTTGTATAGTGTTATATAGTATATAGAAAAGCCAAATACTTATAAACCATTACAGAGGTATACTAAATATAACGCCAGAGTTTTATCCGACACTTAACGTTTTTTCTGTCAAATATGTTTTGGACGGCGCTTAGGAGCAGTAAAATGTAACAAACAGCTTTAGAAGATAACATACAACTGCTTATGTATTAAAGGGCAGTAATCGCTTTGAAAATATTCATATCCTTTATTCTATCCAAGACATATTCTATATCTACTTGCCATGCAACCATTGCTCAATAGGCTATCTATGCTTGCAACTAAAGGTATATATATAGGTATATATATATATATATATATATATATATATATATATATATATATATAGCAATCTTTCAATGTCGTCTGTCGGCTCGATAGGATCCCGTCGCTATTGCGTACTCCCGAGTGCCGTGTGGATCATAGGGGCCGTACCCGCCATCCTTGTGGTGGTAATCAGCCTGTCTGCCGTAGGAAATCCCCACCTGTGTGTATCTGAGGGCAAAGTTACCAACTAGGTATTCATATTAAAATAAAATTTTCACGGACACCATTAAAATATTTCATCAGTTTTTACTTTTACTCCACAAGAATGTTTGCATGCGCATCGAAAAAAGTAGATTTTAGCTAACATGTTTCCTTCGAATCTGTTAAAAACTGGACAAAAACAATGCAGTTTAACAACGATTTCGGATTGTCTACAAAACACGTTAAACTTACCTATCGCGGACCTATTGAAATGGTACCTGACTCTGGGCACCAAATAGTCACGGTCTGAACGCAAGATATTCACCCTTTTGAGAAAAGAAGGATTTGGATATGGTAGTGTATCGTATTGTATCTGTATAATCAAAACGTTTAGATGATACATGGCGTTCAGGAGATAGAGGTGAGGTTTGTACTTGTCACATGTTGTCTATTAGTAAATGTCCCATTTGAACATAGTCTAGGCGTACCTGTATCTAGGCTTTTCATAGTGACGATCGTCCTCATCGGCTAATGATGCTTCGAGGATTTGTGTGTGAGTGGGCTCCCAGCTGCCTCGGACGTCGGGGCCTAATGAATAAGATAGCGGCTGCACAGAAAGGCATTCGTCATAAAATAATTCTATAATGGAATACCTTAAGATAATACGGTGAGTTATCAAGAAACTATAAATGAACAAATCTTTTGTACAGCAGCGGGGGGCAGCGTACCGGATCTATGTCAGACTGTACACAAAACTTCATCGTACCTTCTTTACGTAAAGTTTACGACATAAAAGAGCTTCCGTGGGTGTTATTATTATTGCTAAGAGTATAAACATTCACACCAATATATGACATTCGTCAAGTTTAACATACCTTTCCAGCCGTTGCGCTCCCGTAACCGGCTAAGCGTCGAGATGAAAGTTTCCTTTGTCGCTTATAGGCCCGTTCGCCTGGATATTGTTCAATGCCCTCATTTTCGAAAATATGGGGAACTATGAGCGTCGACGTTAGAGTGTCCGGCGTTTGGGTTGGCACTGTGGCAAGCGGTGGCGACTGGCGTTTAGCCGGCAGATAGTAATCGAAATTTTAAAAAACTGCAGTCATAACCTACACTTAACCGAGTCAAAAAAAGAATGTATTTTCTGCTACTACAACTAAGTAATATATACTTCGTCTGGCTCTAGCAAATTCGCAATTATTATTTCGACCAACGAGGCCTCTACATGGGAACGCGTTATCAAATTGAAGTCGTACATATAAACATGAACAAAATTATCGATTTCGCATACTGTGGTTCCTCATTGAGGTCACCAAGAATAATTGTTTTTTGCCTGTCGGTCGGTCTACCTACTATTTATTGCTACAGTACGGTCACTTTTGGTCCTACCGGAGCTGTGTTGCTTTCGTTGTACAGTCTCATCTACGTAGAGTTGGTAAACAATAATACCTGATTACTCTGCAAAGTATTTTACAAGTGTTGTTTAAATCGGCACCTGATAAAGGGCGACGTACGGCGCAGGGGGAAATTGTGGTATAGCGAGCTGGTACTCAAACTTCGGTACAAAGGTAGTATCGGACCGGAAATTAAATTTCGAAGTAAAGAGGAATCGGACATCGACTTGTGGTGATGCCACTGATTTATCAAAGCTGAAAAGCTAAATAGAAAAGGTGCATTTCTTAGAAGTGGATTTTCACGGAAAAAAAGAATTTAGAAAAAGATACTTCTAAATACGGACGTCATTAGAGATCATATGATGTTTCCTCTCGCTGATTTCTCATAATAAACAGCCCTGAAATATTGATAGTTCTAGATTCAGAGATGATGCCTTTTCGTATGTAATAGTTGAGAAACTTCAGACTTAGTGAACTCTGTTTCGTTTTTCTCTGGTTTTTCGTTAGTTCTGGTCAACATCCGAAGGAAAGTTTATCGATTGACTGAGGGTATTTAGGCAATAATTCGAATCTATGTCTTGTCTTGAATTGAAAATCAAACCGCTACACTATGTTCGTCAACACTGCGTCGGAAACATAAAAAAAAAAAGCGTCTGTTTTCTGTGATGTGAAACGGGTCATTGTCATCGGCTGCTTACTTCGTCGGAGAAAGCTTTACAATCACCAAACAATACAACTTTACCGGCTTCCGGATAAGTTGAACACAACGATTACCAAAAAATACTTCCGTGTAGTTAATAAAAATATCTGTTGTTTCCTTATTACCATATGGGGTGGTGGGGGATGAAAATAATTTTTCAACTAGACGATCGCAAAAAAGAAACAAATTAAGTAATAATAATAATAATAGTAGCAATGCTTGCTGATGAGTTAGTCACAGTACGAATCAATTATATTCCGATTGGTTGTTTATCGCATTAAAGTACGCCTACCTTTTTCTACCGATATCCGTTATAATAATATATGTAATATAAGCGAGAACGTTTAGCGTTAACAAGAAATTACGTAAATATAAATAAATCAATGTATAGATTTTTAAATTTCTTCAAGCTCAGAATTTTCAACCGTTCTTTAGAGAATACATATAAAGAACTAATAATACTTCCATAGTTATTTAATTTGAATAGCTTTCATTTTCTATCGATTCTAAATACCGCGCTAAAGTTCATTTCACATTGTAACGGTGATCTTGGCGATTTTCCAGACTTGTCTGCTGAAGCGCGCTAAACAAAGCTTTGACATCAGTCCTTCATCGACACTTCCTGCCCGTATGCGTAAGAGGTATTCTTCTCATTGCAATACGTAAATCGAAGTGCATCGATAACAGATATTAATATAGCTCATTATCTATCCCGCTGAGTCAATTAGCGCTTCTGTTTTACGACGTCTGCCCGACCATGATGGAAGCCTCTCACAAACGGCATTCGTAAATTCCGTAAAAGGGAAAATCTTAGAAATCCAAAACTACAAAGGCTTCTTCATGCGCTCGGTCCGTCTTTCATCGTCGCTACTTCGGTCAACATCATCTTCTGTTTCAAATACTACTACTCTACAACTACGATAATTCTAGGGTGGCCTGATTCGGCCCTTCGATCGGATTGTTGGACATTTTTTTTTTCGAGAACAATTTCCGCCCCCTATGCAACAAGCAGAAGCATCAATAAGTCACTGCAATAAAATTACTGTTAACTGAAGCGTGAAGCAAGCAATCGGTGACCATCTTGAGCGTAAAATGTATTCATTGGGATGTACGTAATCGTCATAATGTACGTTCACAGGTTTCATTTCCATTATGGGCAAAGGTAAATTGATGCCGGTTGCCCCATCCGTTTAAACGGACGACTATTTTTGCAGCTAATTATGGGTACCGACATAAGAATGAAAACTGCAGTATTAAAACAGGGTGTAACGATCCGAGTTGCAATTTACAACAAACTTTAATGCTTTAAGCTGTAGCAGTTCCTGAAACGAATGATGCCTGTTTATGACACACGAGAGATCTCCCTTCAATAAGGGACGCTTTTTTTCAAAAGCTCCACTCGATCATGGTGAGCCCGTTTGGCGAGCACTACCATTTCAGATAAAAATAATTCCGTTGTTTTTGCTTTTTAACGGCAGAAAAACTACAGTGACGCACGCGAATTTCCGTTCAGTAAAGCCAACTGATATTCAAACGCTTAGATTAGGACTTAACCGAGCGCCGCTGTTGGCGTATACTTTCTAATTGGCCTGTTAGTTTCAGGACACACCTCAAACAATAGATAATCATTCAATCACAAATAAGCCTATCATAGAGCTTCAAAGGCCCTTATTAGCTTCATTAAAGAGGTACAACCCATTGGCGGGCGGATTTTTTAACCCTCAAAAAGGCTAAAGTCATGTCTGATGCGAATCATCCTTTCCATGTATTTCTCGTCGGTTTTAAACGTAGTACTTAGCTAGATGGCAACTCTGGGTACAAGCGTTTAATTATAGCTGGCAAAGAATTGCCCATTTTTTTTCAAGCCCAACTGAAATATAATTGTGTACGTCTGTGGGTGCACTACTATCGGACAAAACTAGCGGTATGTTTATATCAATGATACCAGGTACCGACGAAAGGTCTTATATGGCCTTCGTTGTTAGGGATCAGGAACATATTTATTCGAATAACTCTCATTTCTCACGCATGTGGTACCGTGTTGTCACGAAGACGATTTCATTTTAAAGCAGTCTTTCACAATTACAGGTTCACCCAGTGAGAAGGTCTGTCGGTTTACAGTTTGGCAGAGGGTATATATTGACGATTATGCCGTTGATTTGTACGTTGCACGCTATGCTCCGGTCGTCTCTGTGCATACCAAATTAGTAGGGTTCTTGCTACACGAAGCCAAAACGAAAAACAAAATACGACCGTCTCAGGAAAGTTGGGATAGGAATAGTTGAATTAAATTCAAAGATATGCATTCATGACTACATAGTACACAACTATTACCACGAACATAGCAGTATTATTGATGTTCCGGTTCAAGTCAGTGCAGGTATATATCGCTGGATGGCAATTCACTCAAGTTGACTTGTTAACTTTATTTGCAGTTATTATCTATGTACGTAGACGCCAGCGGAATACGTCACGCGTAACGAAGCTGTCATTTAATTATATAGGCTGTTTGCGATACACATGGGGTTACTCTAATCCATATTGTTGAAATGGCTCGCTCGTTGCAGCTAGCAGCAAAAGCCATTAATTAGACCCAGAATAGCCAATCTTTTTCGAGGAAAGAATATCGGGAAGGGCGATATTGGAAGCAGGAACGATATTATCCGTGAATCACTTCGTTCAGCATCATATAATTGTTCTTTTCTCGGCAATCGTGCTACGAAGCCTACGTTTCACACATTATTTCTTCATTAGAGATAGGTCTTCAGAAACATTGTTTGCCGCCACGGCCAACGGCACTAGAATTATGTCCATTATTTGAGCTTTGTTTCTTTATGAGCTATTTCAACGGATGGCACCTATGTCAGCTTGACTTTGTTCAGCCAAGCTTTGAAATAGGGCAAATTGTAAATATGTCTACTTGATGTTGTCAGCATTATTTGTTGATGATTTCACCGTCGACAGAAAGAGCAGTTCTATTGACTTTATTTTATTTGTCTAGAATTTATCTCTGCCGCCGTCATCGTTTATCGCACCACTGTTTTGCCCCCGACGGCCCGGGGAGGCGGAGGAAGAGCAGCTGTAGCTAGTGGTCGCGTCGTAGATGCGCTTCTATTCTCATTCTGCTCCAAAATGAAGGTCAAATCCTGCATATTCATAACGCTAGCAATTGTGATAATGATGATGATGATAATAATAATGACAGAAATAATTACAACCCACTAAATGGGCAGTATCAACCAATTACCTGCCACACAGGCTGTCGGACGCAGTACATACGCTATTGCCAAGCAGACAATTAAATAGTATATCTCGCAATGGCGCCAAATTGATTTTAGCTATTTTCGCTTAGCTGGTTCGAACGGTACCTCTGGTCATATGGAAAATTAATTGTACGCTGAGTACGATGTAGTTAGACAATAACGTCTTACGCTGCCGTAGGAACAGGAGGCCTTGAAGTGAAAAGTGCCAAAAGGTGTGTCAGGTAAGTTGAAAAATCGGTAATTAAAATCCAAGACTACGCTAACTAATATTCCCTTCTATTCAGTAAACAGACCTCGCTTATTCTACAGTGTGCATTATATAAGCGAACCTGGTGAATTCGATCCGAAATCAAATGGTTTTACAACGAGTGGAGCTAGAATGATGTTTTTCGTGTGTGTGTGTGTGTGTAGAGGTACTTCCTTTTGTTTTTTAAACCCTCATCCCAGCGCTCTGGCAGCTTTTAAATATCCATATCTATCTACCACTCGCGTTCCTATGTGTAATTCCTCTATCTGTAGCTTCCTGAAGTGAATCAGTAGTGGGATATACTTTCCCCCAGTTGTCCTTTTTAAGGCATGAAAAGCCTTATAACCCGCATGGACTTCACTCGGAAGAGTAAGCGGATTAAAGCCAACGTTGGATATTCCTTTACTCAATCTAGGAAGTATCTGAGACAGGATTATGAGGTCCGGCCTTGTCATTAAGCAGTTAGACTGTGTGTTTTCCATTGTCGTACCAAGGGTTTATAAGTCTTGTGAGGAACTCGACATAGCAGGCTGCATTCATTGTTCCATTTTCGACAAGGATTTCAGCAGCAGACGCCCTTTATATCTATTACCGTAGCTTTGAACTTACTCGATTGACACTGCTACCAGACTCGACTTTGCTGGCCGTAGAAATCAAAGTGTGCAACATCTATAGCCCCAAGCGGACTTTTCGTCGATTAAAATTCCGCAGATCGCACGCGGTACACCTCATATGCGTATCCCACTGGCCCGTAGTCAGTTTACGTAAGACCCATTTTTCTGCTCTGCTTCTGTATTTGTCACAGTTCTGTACCAAGTTATATGGGAAATGCCGAGTTTCAGCCCAAGGAATTTTTAAACTTGAGGTTCTGTATCGGGGAAAAGTCTCCCCAATTACGCCACTGTGCCCTTGTCCTTCGGATCTTGATATCTGCCCGCCTCCTCGCTAACCTTCAACATTCCAATCTCTTTTGTTGAAACGTTTCCTCCATTCACGTACGGTACTTTCGTTGAAAGCGTGCTTATTTGAATGAATATTCAATGTCCTTGATGA